GGAAAAACGTTAAGAAAACGAAAATGACTTCTCAAGAAAACGAGATTGGTGTCGGGCAGAATGTTCTGAACGACAATCACTCTGAAAGCGGAGCTCCGGTGAACAATAGTTCACAACGCGGAGCATCTGCTTTGAACCAAAGGGCTATCCCTATGGTTACCGTGCCAAGCAACTCTGTGGAGAAACCCGAAAAATTTAATGGGTTAAACTTCAAGAGGTGGCAGCAAAAGATGCTATTTTATCTCACTACTCTCGGTCTTGCGAGGTTCTTGACTAAGGACGCTCCGGTTGTAACCGAGAGTGAGGTGGATGTGCAATCTCTCAACGCGGTTGAGGCTTGGAAGCATTCTGACTTCCTTTGCCGAAACTATGTGTTGAACGGGCTGCATGATGCTTTGTACGACGTTTATAGCAAATTAGCTACGGCTAAGGAGCTATGGAATGCTTTGGACCACAAGTATAAAAGCGAGGATGCCGGCGCAAAGAAATTTGTTGTTGGTCGATTCCTTGATTTTAAAATGGTGGATTCGAAGACGGTCTTGAGTCAAGTTGAAGAGATGCAAATGATCTTCAACGAAATTCGAGATGAAGGAATGACAGTTAGTGAGTCATTCCAAATGGCATCAATTATTCATTTATTGCCGCCGGCTTGGAAGGATTTCAAGAACTACCTTAAGCATAAGCGAAAGGAAATGAACTTGGAGCAATTGATCCTCCGTCTGCGGATTGAAGAGGATAATCGGAAGAACGATGGGAAACTCCCAATTGTTCACGGCGCCAAGGCAAACGTGGTGGAGCATGCTAAAAGCTCCAAAAATAAAAATAATGGGAAGAGCAAGCTCGGTCCCAAGGGAGGCGTTTCCAAGACAAAGTTCAACGGAAAATACTTCAATTGCAATAAAAATGGACACAAGTCCTCGGATTGCAAGGCACCAAAGAGGAAGAAAGATTCTCACGTCAACTTGGTGCAAGGTGGGCAAAAGGATGAAGACATCATCCTAGCGGCTGTGGTTACGGAAGTCAACCTCGTTGGATCCAATTCCAAGGAGTGGTTTGTGGACACCGGTGCTACCCGGCATATTTGCTCAAACCGGGAGTTATTCACTACTTTTGAGCCATCAAATGGTGAGAAAGTGTGGATGGGAAACTCGGCTCATTCCGCGGTTGAAGGCGTGGGCAAGGTGGTCTTGAAGATGACTTCGGGCAAGGAGCTGACTCTTAACCAAGTGCTGTTCGTTCCGGAGATACGCAAAAACCTGATTTCTGGTTCGTTGTTGAACAAGCATGGCTTTCGTATGGTTTTTGAGTCGGACAAATTGGTTTTGTCCAAGTCGGGAATGTATGTGGGCAAGGGGTATGCATGTGATGGGCTATTTAAGCTCAATGTAATGACTATTATTAAAAATAATAATAAAGTCTCTTCTTCTTACTTGCTTGAGTCTTCCAATGTGTGGCATGGTAGACTAGGACATGTTAATTTTAATTCTATACGTAGATTAATTAACATGGAACACATTCCTAAATTCACAATTGATGTGAAGCACAAATGTGATATTTGTGTTGAGGCAAAACTAACGAAAACGTCTTTGAAATCGGTTGAAAGAAAAACGGAACCACTAGAATTAATTCATAGTGACGTTTGTGATTTTAAATCAATACAAACACGTGGCGGTAATAAATATTTTATTACTTTTATCGATGATAGCACTCGCTATAGCTATGTTTATTTGTTGAAAAATAAACACGAAGCAATCGATAAATTCATTCTTTATAAGAATGAAGTGGAAAACCAACTTAATCGACGGATTAAAACGGTTAGAAGTGATCGAGGTGGTGAGTATGAAGCACCAATTGGTGACTTTTGCGCGAGCATGGGTATAGTACACGAACGTACCGCACCCTATTCACCTCAATCAAACGGTGTTGCCGAACGAAAGAATCGCACATTGAAAGATATGATGAATGTGATGCTAGTAAGTTCGGGCCTGCCACAAAATATGTGGGGCGAAGCAATCTTGACAAGCAATTACCAACGGACAGTTCATTGATGTCCAACGTTCAGGTCCATTAATTCACTATTTTCACACGACAAATCCTCCTATATAATGGCTGGCAGGTGGTTTGCAACAACACACGTTCTTACACAAATTCATACACGTTTTAGCTCTAAAAGCACACTGCTAGCATTCCGAAAATTTCCCCTGTGTTCATACTGTGTTCTCGTTCGCTGGAACTTTTGTTTGTGTGCTCAAACATTAGTTCGTAGTCATCGTATCCTGGGAAACGATTGTTGCAACGCTCCTAGCACCGTGGGAGGCAACAAATACGTTTTAAGGACATCGTGCGTAGCACGAGCTTTGACTAAATTTGCTTCATCTCCTTTCTTGTTTTTCTTTAGTCATTTTATTTAATTAATTTATTTTAATTAATTTTCTTTATTTTCCGAAACACACCCAACACGCAGCACTACTAGGAAGAGAGCCATTAGGAAGGAAACAAAATCCTACCAAAAATATTCATACTCCTTTCTAAATTGGTTAGGTAGGAACTTAAATAGGAACTTGATTCCTCTCTAAAAAACCCCTCGCTAATTTGCAATTCCTATCTACCTTCCTTTTTAATGCAGTGGGTCATTGAGAAGTACTAAACCTTTAGGATTGAACATATTTCCTTTCCATACTCCTATCCTACCAAACGTATTTCATCTAAGAGGAAAGAGTCAATTCCCTAAATAGGACTAAAAAGTGGCAAAATTGCATAAATAGGACTACATTTTTTAAATTCCCTTAATAGGACTATTTATGTGTGTTTGGCCAAATATACCCTTGTAACTTGTGGAATGTTTTAATTAATAATAAAATCATACAAAAATAATAAAAATCGAAAAAAATACTAAAAATCGTAAAAAGATAATAGAAAATTAATAAAAATATTTTTTATGAAAAAAAAATTATTTTGTAAAAAAAAATAAAAAAAATAAAAAAAATCGTAAAATTAAAAAAAAACATTACCACCCCTGCCACCCCCAGCACCACCAGCTCCCATCACCGAAGAAAAATATGCCAACATTTTAAATAATGCCATAATGATGGCATATTCAATGAAAATGTTGGCATATTGAAGAGTAATTATGCCATCTTTTTGGCATTTTCAGAAAAAGATGGCATTTTTTTACCAAAAGTGGAAGAAATTTCACCAATCGGAGGTGGTGGTGCTGGGAGGCGGCGGATGGCGGTGGGAAATGTATCCATAATTTTTTTCATTTTTTATGGGTTTTTACTATTTTTTATTATTTTTTAAAAAAAAATTAAAAAAATAAAAATTAAATTTTTTATTTTATAAATGTTTTATAAATTTTTTATAATTTTTTTACGTTTTTTAAATATTTTTTACGTTTTTTTATGATTTTATTATGAATTAAAGCATTTCATTATGAATTAATACTCTTAGGGGTATTTAGGGTAGAAAATCTATGTTTAGTCCTATTTAGGGAATTTAAAAAGTAGTAGTCCTATTTGTGCTTTTTAGGAACTCATTAGTCCTATTTAGGACAATTTCCGAAGAGGAAATGGTTCCTTTCTAAACTTTTACTTTGTTGGACAGTAAAATAATCAGTTATTGTCCTAAGTAGGACTAAATCATAATGAAAATTGACTAATAGGACCTTAAGTTTTTTATTCATTAAATAGGACTATATTAGTCCCATGTAGAAAGATAATAAAATTCCATACCATTAATACCCTTCTTTTAATTAATCCCTAAATCCTTTACTTTTTCCATCAATTCCTCTCTTTGGATCGGTTGGTTTCCTCCATGCGGAAAAAATTGATCGACATCTCCCTCGGCAACTTCTCCTTGCGCATAGCAGCCACCGCCGCCACCAACTATGTCGCCTCCCGCTGCCTTCTTCCTCTTCCTCTTCTTCCTCCTCCTCCTCCTCCTCCTCCGCCTCCTCCTCCTCCTCCGCCTACTCCGCCCCCTCCCCCGCCCCCCTCCTCCCCCCTCCCCCCCTCCCCCCTCCTCCCCCCTCCCCCCTCCCCCCTCCTCCTACGCCCCCCCCTCCTCCTCCTCCTAAATAAAAATTTGATATTGAGAAAAGTAGGGATGAGTTGGTCAATAGGAAAATGCTTAACTTAACAACTAAATAAAACATGGGGGGCGTTGCTTTAGTAACCGGCGACTTAAGAGGCTACAACACTTACTAAGCACACAATTAGCCATAAAAATGGTTTACTTCACACGCCTTATTAAGCTAGCTGCAAAGTTAACGTCAAAGTAAACGCCTCCTAAATAAGTTCATCTTCCTCATTGAAGTATCTGATATGTTGGACTTCCCAAAGTCAGTCAGTCATTGCTTCCATTGTTCTTATGTCCTCGGATAGTAGTAAGTCCTTGTTGAATCAAAACCAGACTTTGCCATTGTTCTTATGTCCACTTGTGTCCTCTTAGAGTTTAGTGACTTCATGTGACACCGCACCCGAACGTCCTTGAAAATTCGATTTAAAAATTCCAAAGTGATGTATTGAATTTCCGATTTCAAAACAATGGAAGAAACGATTAATATTTTACGAAGTATATGATTGAATATTGTATTGTTCAAACCCGCATTCGTTTGTAATTTTCATAATGTAAATTATTGGGATGAGCCTACACATATTGGAGATCAATAATGTGATTTAGGAAGTTGACTTGTTCTAAATAAATTAGGATGAGTACAAAAAGACATCTTTTGACAAAGATAAAACAATAGGACCCATTTTCCCCATTTTTGGAAGTATTGGTAGATAATTTGGATCCCAAATTAATTGGGATCAATTGGGAACCACTCCACATGATTAGAGTACCTACAACACAAGAAAATTAAGTGAGGAGACTTACCTTGGCCGCACCAGCTGGAGGAGGGCTGCACAAGACTTGATTGGAATCAACCTTGAGACCCACCTTGTCAATTTCCGCACAAAATGGTGTGCTGTTTGTCTCCACTCATTATGGGAGTTATACTCGACCAAACAACGTGTATAAGGTGTCTTTGGATAGCTTTTGAAGTATATTTTCATATTTGAGTGGCCACAGTTCGAGAGGAGAAGTCAATCATCCAAAAATCGATCTGGAACGAGCAGAGGTCTGTGAACTCGAGCTGTGAGAGTGCGGAGACTGTTTGGCCGATATCTCGAGTTTTACCAATCCAATTAAGGCGTGTGAGATACCAAAAGAAAGCTCTCAAGACGAGGAATCCGTGAAGGTCTGGTTTGCATCAATCGGAGTAGAGGAAGGCTTCCAAATCGTCCGAGCAGAACGAGACCTCGCAGGGACGGATTTACTCTTCTAAGTGAGTTGTTAATCCCAAAACCTTTCCATTCATTTTCCAAATGATATGAACGATTGGTGGGACTATTATACACTACTCCAAGTGTATAAAACATCCCTATTAAGTTATTTTATTGATGTAAAGGTTAGATACTAACCTAGATGCAAACATTGGAAAACTAGGAATCGAGTTAGCCGGAAAACACCCGTTCTAGGGGCTGTTTTAGTATCAACGATTCGGGGTTGAAATAGCAACTTGAGGAGGCTGTTTAGCACCCATTTTCAAGCAAGGAACTAGTTCCCAATCTTCCTTGGCCGAGGCTTTAGCCATTGGATCGAGAAGGAAGGTTTTAAAGCTCATTTGAGGTGAGGATCGACATCTAGTTGCTTACAACTTGTAGGTTAAGCATGAGATTACCTAAATGCTTGAATAATGTTTTCCATGGATTATGATGATAACCTATTGATGGAATATTGATCTATTTTCCAAAGAATGAAATAAGAAATGATTTGGTAAAGTATTGATGAAAATGGAGTTAAATGAACTATTGTGTGAAATAGGCATTTTACTCATGTGTGAATTGTGTAGATACATAAATGATTATTTATGTATTACATTGAATGATTAAGTTGCTGCTACATATCTCTAAATATGTAGGGTTTTACAAATGGAATATATGATTGATAAGAATAATCTTAATAGTATTGAAATACTAGTTAATGATTGTTGAAATTGTTGAAGAATTGAATCTAAGGATTTGATTGTAATTGATGAACTTGATTGTGATGCAAGTGACTAAATTGATGTAATGTGATGCTAAGACCATGGTTGGGCAGTCCGTAGGGATGTCCCAAGATAGATTATTGATATTACAATTCTAGGCCTAGTGAGTGCTTAGGAATTGGGGTCTATGCCAATGTAAGGAGATGTACTTGAGCCCGTGCTCATAGAATTGCATTGGGTAGACATGATGAGGTGATTGTGTGCATGGGGATGTAGTCGAGTTGGACTCGAGAATGCACGGTGGAGTAGTTAGCTTATGTTAATAAAGGTGCATGGTGATGTAGTCGAGTTGGACTCGAGAATGCAAACATATGTGTTAGGGTTGGACCCTATGTATTGTTGTGACTAGGGGTCACGGGATTTTGGGGTATGTTTGATAAACAAACCTTGGGCCTACGGGCCGACTACTTGACTTTATATATAAAGTAAGTATATTTTAAAACGGGGTAACTTGGGGTTACGGCCTAGATTATATTATCACCCTATTTGAGGGTCTTGTGTTTGAAATACTTGTTGTATATCTATTAGATGCCATCCACACCAGCACTTTATAGCCGTATAGAGTGCTGACCCCTTCGGGGGCGTCCCACCACCATTTTTCAGGTTGAGGCTAGAGCTTGCTTCCTGTGCTCGTTGCTCGAGGGATCATCTAGGAGGGAAGACTTGGTTCGTGCTTCCTCCATTCAGTTTTAAACATTAATAAACATGCTCATGGATATTTACTTTAGAGCCTGCGTGCTCATGTTAGCCACGTGTGGCATTTGTTTTCAAACTATGTTTTCCGCTATGTATACGATTACTTATTATGTTTGTTTATGGATGGCTTACGTGTGAATGATATTCGGGACGCCTTGTATAATATGAATGTGTTGGACTGCGGTTGACTATTCGTATTGTACGGCGGGTTGTTGGCGTGTCCGGGGAGGTCCGGGGCGTGACAATTAAGTTGGTATCAGAGCCTTAGTCCATAAACTTCATAATGAAGTCTCAAAATTCTCTTTTTGAAAAAGATTTTGAAAACCATGAGCATAGGAGTTTTGTACTTGGAGAGCTTTTGGTACTTGGGTTGCAAGGTCTCTAATTGTTAAGATGGTACCCTTAGCAATTGGTATGGCGGTGACTCGAGCCAAAATGTGTCTTAAGTACCTATCCGTCAATTGACATTTGATACGAGTCTAATGACTCTTTCCAAATTTCTTTCAGAAATGGACGGTGGTGGCAGGATTACTAGGAGAAACCCGACGGGCCGTGTACCAGTGGAGACTGGACAGGGCAGTCGAAGGACCTCTAGGGCGTCTAGGGGAGCTGGCCGTGGAGGCCGATCACAGACCGTGAGTGACGGTCATGTTGACACAGAAAGTGAAACCTACTGGTCCTATGAGGACTCAACTTACCAACCGGAGACCGAGCCGGTTGAGACCCCTTACGAAGGGGATGACGATGATATAAGTGATGAAGAAGGGGAGAATGACTCCCTAGCCAGAATCGAGGCGCTGCTCCAACAATATCAGCGGGAGCGCGAAGAAAGGAGGGAACGCCGAAGGCGCCGGGGAGGGCGAACTTTGGGTGGGGCTTCAAGAGGAAGAAGCCAAGGCGACTCTAGGGCCCACATTGAACCACATGGGGGCCGGGGTGATGGAGGTCCGATCATAAGGATCTCAAAATTTCTCAAAGAGGCGAGAGACTTGGGGTGCAAACCCTTCAACGGAGCAGGTGACATCTCGGTTGCCGCGGGATGGATCAAGAGGCTGAACGAAGCAGCCCTTGATATGCAACTCACCCCCGAGTTTAAGCTAAGGGTGGCGGTGAGGTTGCTTGAAGGGATGGCATCCACATGGTGGGACGGAGCCAAGGGAAAGTATGGCAACACGGTGACTTGGGAGAATTTCCGACAGGAGTTCTTTGCCCAATATTATTCTGATTTTGAGGTGAACGCCAAGAGGAGAGAGTATACCCTCCTGACCCAAGGGGGCAAAATGACGGTGAGGCAACTTGAACACAAATTCAGGGAGCTCGCGGAGTTCATACCGGAGTATGTGTGTGACGAGAACCGGATGGTAAATCACTTCTGGGATGCCTTAGACCTGGAGGTGCGTGAGAGGGCAACACAGTTGCCTAACATGACTTTTAGCCAAGTGGTCGAGCAAGGGTTAAAAGGAGAGAAAGAATGGGAGGAAAGAAAGTTGAAGAACGCCGAAGAGGCAAAGAAGAGGAAGTGGGAGAACCATGGGCATCAAGGTCCTAGCAAAAAGGGGAACCATGGGGGAGGGGGATCTTTTCGGACACCCCCACTGCCACCTAGGGGAAGTCATGGCCCGGGCGGGCAATCACAAGCCTCGGGGGTGACTCGTTGCAAGAATTGCAAGAGGAACCACCCGGGGAAATGTCGTGACCCTCCTAGATGCTACCAATGCGGGAGCACCGGTCACATGAAGATGAGCTGCCCACAACTGGGCGGGACGAGGGCATCAGGGCCAAGTAGTGGTAATACCGGGACACGGAATCAAGCCGGGACTTCACAAGCGTCCAGGGGGCAAGGGGGAGCAAGCGCAAGCAACGCGCCGTCCGTGAATCAAGGAAGGACTCAAGCTAGGGTCTACGCGATGACGGAGGCGGATGCTCAAGCTAACCCGGATTCCGTTGCAGGTATTGCCTCTCTTATACTAGTGTTTTATCCTTAATTAGTCCATAAATTGAAGTTATAAATCCTAGAATCCAGGTGGGAGCAGACGTAAGATTGAAATGGGAAAGGAGAGCAAAACCATGCTACTACCCGATCGGGTAGGGCAATAAACCCTACCGGGTGGGACGAGTTTTTGCCCTCGTAAACCTTCTGGATCGCATACCCGATCGGGTTTGGTAATGAACCCGACCGGGTAGGACAAGTTTTTGCACTCATAAGTCCACTGGAACACATACCCGACCGGGTATGGTGGTATACCCGACCGGGTTTGTCAAAAATTTCTGCCCGACACCTTCTGGAACACATACCCGACCGGGTATGGTGGTATACCCGACCGGGTTTGTCAAAAATATCTTCCAGACACTTTCTGGAACACATACCCGACCGGGTATGGTGGTAAACCCGACCGGGTTTGTCAAAAAAAAAAAAAAAATTCTGCCCGAACCCACTGGAACTTATACCCGATCGGGTATAGTATGTTACCCGACCGGGTACACCTCGAAGTGTTCGTCAAATGAAAAAGTTGTCTTCATGAAAGTTGTAGATATTTTCATTGTCTAAATGATGGAATTTGAATCGAACGATTTGGTTAAGTATGTGAAGAGATATGATCAAAACGGTGAGACAGTGTCAATCTATATCTCAACTGCGAACGTCAACCATAATTGGGGGATTTTGCCCACTTTAAGGACATGATTTCGCATTATGTTCTTCGTAGGATTGGTCGGTATGTTAGAGAGGTGTCTTACATGGTTTATAAATGTAGGAACACTAAAGATTAATGGGAGATGTGCGAGAATCCTCATCGATACCGGGGCGCAACGATCATTTGTGAGTGAGGCATTCGCCGGGGGATTCAACGCACCCCTGGTACCGATGGCTCAAGCCCTATTGGTATCCACACCCCTAGGGGAAGACATCGAGAGAGATAGCCACTATCCATCGTGTGAGGTGGAAGTGGAGGGCCAAAACTTGTCGTGTGATTTCGTGCCGCTGAGTATGATTGAGTTCGATGCAATCCTGGGGATGGATTGGCTTGAGAAGCATCATGCTAGGGTCGATTGTTACACGAAAGTACTTGAACTCGAAGGCAATGAAGGGGTAACCTTACGCTTCGAGGGGGATAGGGCAAAATCCAATAGTTGTATCATATCCGCCGTGAGGGCTAAGAATATGATGAGGAAGGGGTGTCACGCATATCTAGCGTATGTGGTGGACAAAACCAAAGAAGATACGAGCATTGATGATGTTAGGGTAGTATGCAAGTATCGGGACGTCTTTCCTAAAGACTTACCGGGACTTCCACCCGATAGGGAGATTGAGTTCGTGATCGAGGTCGAGCCCGGCACCAAACCAATCTCCATACCGCCATACCGTATGGCACCCGCTGAACTTAACGAGTTGAAAACCCAATTGCAAGAGCTTTTGGATAACGGTTTCATTAGACCAAGCCACTCCCCGTGGGGAGCACCAGTTCTTTTTGTGAAAAAGAAAGATGGGACACTTCGAATGTGTATTGACTATCGTCAACTGAACAAGGTCACAATCAAGAATAGGTATCCTTTGCCTAGAATTGATGACTTGTTTGACCAACTACGAGGGGCAACCGTGTTTTCAAAGATCGATTTGAGGTCGGGTTACCATCAATTGAAGATTAAGGAAGACGACATACCAAAGAGTGCTTTCCGCACAAGGTATGGACATTTTGAGTTCCTTGTTATGTCGTTTGGGTTGACAAACGCCCCAGCGGCATTCATGGACTTGATGAACCGAGTATTCCATAAATACTTGGATCGATTCGTGATTGTGTTCATAGACGACATTTTGATTTACTCAAAGAGTGAGGAAGAGCATGAAGAGCACTTGATACTCGTTCTTGAGACACTACGGGAGAAGCAACTTTATGCCAAATTTTCTAAATGTGAATTTTGGCTAAAGGAAATTGGCTTTCTCGGGCATGTGGTTTCGGGATCGGGAATTGCTGTTGATAATAAGAAGATAGAGGCCATTACCGAATGGGAGAGACCAAGGAATGTCAAGGAGATTCGTAGTTTCCTTGGATTGGCAGGCTATTACAGAAAGTTCGTGGAAAAGTTCTCTGTTTTGGCGTCGCCGTTGACGAAGCTCACTCGAAAGGGAGCTAAGTTTATATGGGATGACAAATGTGAGAAAGGATTCATCGAACTAAAGAAGAGATTGACCGAGGCACCGGTACTTGCATTACCCAAACAGGGTGTGGGGTACGATGTCTATAGTGACGCGAGCATCCAAGGGTTTGGGTGTGTGTTGATGCAGGAAGGGAGGGTAATTGCCTATGCTTCACGACAGTTGAAGAAGCATGAGGTAAATTATCCTACCCATGATCTGGAGCTGGGAGCAGTGGTGTTTGCACTGAAGATATGGAGACATTATCTCTACGGGGAGACATGTCACATATACACTGATCACAAGAGCTTGAAGTACGTGTTTACTCAGAAAGAGCTAAACATGAGACAGAGACGGTGGATGGAGCTGATAAAAGACTACCATCTAGTGATAGAGTACCACCCAGGCAAGGCAAATGTGGTGGCAGATGCTTTGAGCCGGAAGAGCTCGTCTGGGGCATTGCTAGCTAATTTGAGGGCATTAAGAGCCCAACTGGAGGTATCCAGCGATGGTGCCTTATTGGCACGATTTGAGGTGAGACCTACTTTACTTGATGAGATCAAGAAGGGTCAGGAAACCGACGAAGAAATTATGAAGATCCGGGAACGCATGCAAGCGGGACCGGTGGAGGACTTCAGAGAAAGAGATGACGGTCTCTTATTATTTCGTGACCGAGTGTGTGTACCGGCAGATGAGGAGCTCCGAAAGTCCATCTTAGAGGAGGCTCATTCATCGGCGTATGCCATGCACCCGGGGGGCACGAAAATGTACCGTGACTTGAAAGAAAGTTACTGGTGGTCTGGGATGAAGAGGGAAATAGCCGAATACATTAGTCGATGCCTTACTTGTCAACAAGTTAAGGCGGAACATCAGCATCCAGCAGGCTTATTGCAGCCACTTTCCATTCCTGAATGGAAGTGGGAACACGTGACTATGGATTTCGTGGTAGGTTTACCACGGACAATCAGGAACTATGATGCAGTTTGGGTCGTTGTGGATAGGCTCACAAAGAGTGCACACTTCTTGCCTATCAACACTACCTACCCACTTGAGAGGTTAGCCAAATTGTATACGGATGAGATCGTGAGGCTGCATGGGGTCCCAGTGACCATTGTATCCGATAGAGACCCACGATTCACATCACGTTTTTGGCCGAAATTTCAGGAGTCTATGGGAACGAGGTTGAAGTTCAGTACTGCTTTCCACCCACAGACGGATGGACAGTCTGAAAGAGTCATACAGATCTTGGAAGACATGTTGAGGGCTTGTGCATTGGAGTTCCAAGGAAGTTGGGACAACCACTTAGCACTTGTGGAGTTTGCCTATAACAACAGTTATCAGGCAAGCATCGGCATGCCTCCATACGAGGCATTGTATGGGAGAAGGTGTCGTACACCGTTATGCTGGGACGAGGTTGGCATGGCCAAACTCGAGGGTACTGAGTTGGTTGAGGTCACCAAATCAAAGGTGAAGTTGATTCGAGAGAGACTCAAGGCGGCTCAGGATAGACAAAAGAGTTATGCAGATAAGCGTCGAAGAACCTTAGAGTTTAAGGTTGATGACGAGGTATTCTTGAAAGTTTCTCCTTGGAAAGGGATCATTCGGTTCCAAACCCGAGGAAAACTTAACCCACGATATATAGGTCCATTCAGAATTATAGAGAGGATTGGGGCCGTTGCATATCGTCTACAGTTGACTCCTGAGTTAGAGAAGATACATAATGTGTTTCATGTATCCATGCTTAAGAAGTATGTGCACGATCCCTCTCACGTATTGGAGAAGCCACCTGTAGAGGTACGTGAGGATTTGAACTACGCTGTTCAACCTATCAAGGTCACCGATAGAAAGGTGAAGAAGCTGAGGAGCAAAGAAGTCCCAATGGTTAAAGTCCTGTGGAAGAGCGATCGGGTCGAGGAAGAGACATGGGAAACAGAGGCTTTGATGAGGAAGCAGTATGCTTTCTTATTCGAGTAGAGCTGTGAATTTCGGGGACGAAATTCCTGTTAAGGGGGGGTGAACTTGTGACACCGCACCCGAACGTCCTTGAAAATTCGATTTAAAAATTCCAAAGTGATGTATTGAATTTCCGATTTCAAAACAATGGAAGAAACGATTAATATTTTACGAAGTATATGATTGAATATTGTATTGTTCAAACC